GGGTTTTGGGTTCAAGGGTTTAGGGGTTTAGGCTTGAGGATCCAATGGTCTCGGGTTTGGGGCTTTAGGAGAGAAGGCGCGGCCGTCAGCTCCCGGATCGGCTTTAGGCTTTGGGGCTTCAGGGCTGTGGGGCTTCCGGCCTCAGGGTTTCTATAATAGGCATTACCCAAAGGGTCCGAGTTATGGTATAGTCTATAGTATATACTTTTGGGGCCCATATACCTACAAAGTAGCTACCTTACTAATGCTTGGACCCTTTGGGTTAAGATTTAGGATCTGGGTTTTACGGACTTTTGGGGTTTGCAGTGTTCCCGAAACGTCTGAGCTCAAAAAAACCCGAAACTCATAAACGCCAAGCCCGAGATAAACAAATGGGGGCTCACGTGGCAACTTTGGACAGTTGTTCCATACGTCCACAGACACAAGGTTAACGCAAACTCAAAGTTGGCCGAACTCTTCCCAACCTTCCAGCCTGCATTTTTCAGAATTTCGGGACTCTTTGAGTCCTTGGGTTTATACTAAAACTTGTTGCGCTAAACCCGCTCCTTCAAGTACGCCCGTTCGCGGTAAGCTACAGGGGTGAGCCGAACGAGGCTTTTGCTCTGCATTGTTGGCGCACATCTTCATTTTCGCGGGGCATCCCAACTTAGACGTGGGCCTAACAATCTGTTTGCTCCAGCATTGGTTCCATGCTTGTTCAGGGAAAAAACTACAGAACAAGTGCTCGCCTAAAGCTTGATGTGCCAGACCTAGGAAAACCGTCCGTTACAGTCATGTACATGAAAACGAAGATGCAGCCATCCGCCTCAGGGTCATCGTCGTCATCATCATCATCATCATCACCATTGTCACGGTCATCGTCTTCGTCAATATCGCCACACCACCACCACCAACATGACCAAATTCTTCATATCCCTCTCTCGAAGAGCCAATGCTCTGCCCGAACGCTGAATGGCGAAAGTGCTGGCGAGCGGCCGGAAGGTTAGAGGGCGCCGATGGTCGGCCTGTGAAGCCAGGCCAACACGAACATTTACCATCGTGGGAGTTTCCACAAACTAGGGTACCTTATTTTGGGGTCCTTATACTATTTAGCGTACTATATTAGGGTCCCCTATTTTCGGAAACTCCCTCGTGAGGAGATTGGGGGGCGCATACTCGGCAGACGCTGTCGAAGGGGAAAAAATCTGATTGGAAATGTCGAACCTGACGGTCGGACATCCCGCGGAAGATTCAGCACAACTAACTAGCAAGAACGGGGTTGAAACCGTTGGGTGATGATGTTGATTAAACAAGGGCATCGAAACTGAAAGTCTGTTGAGTCGTTAAGTTCGGGCTTCAGGCTACAAGACAAGCATACGGCTGACAGTCCAGTCTGGGCAGCCCTTGGCACTGCTAACGACGCCAAGAACAAACAAGTAACAACAGTCAATAATATTATCATGGTTTCTTCTTGGCTGACTTCTGAACCCCTCCTAAAAGTTAAACTTTCAACTCCCTTATTATAGTCTATATAGAAACCCAAAAAGTTAAGTCCTGAGAGCCAACCAAAAGAACGCCAAGTCTTATAGCGCGAATAATACCTTGAGGATGGTGAGCAGAAGAACCTAAGGACATCTGAAGGCTGAAGACTTAGTGGTTTTGCAGAAGTTTAGAAGACCGAACCGGTGCGCTAGCTCAGGTACTCCAAGCTCTTTCCGATCTCTTTCCGATGCCGGCGTGGATTTGCAACCATACGGACCCCAAAGAACCTACCCTTTTAAGGACTTATAAACGAAAATCACAATAAGGAACCCTAACAAGGGAGGTTCTTAAGGCTCCAGGTAG